TTGTAAATATAATTAGTGATCGTTCTAGCTCTTTTGACCACAGTAGCAACATTCTCTCTCTTCCCCATTGCCTCAAACATAAGATCAATACAATGTGCTGCACATGATGTCCAAAACACATTATGATGCTTCATTAACTTTTTTCCAGCTTTGACAAATGCAGAACCGTTGTCGGTCACGACTTGGACAACATTATGCTCTCCCACCTTCATGATTACATCCCTCAATAATTTGTAAATATATACTTGTAATTCTTTATATGGTCTGAAGCATCAACAGACTTCAGAAAAATTGTCTTGCCCTTGGAGTATACCATGAAGTTGATGATAGATAATCTGGTCGGGCCGGTCCATCCGTCACACATGATTGTGCAACCATTAGTTTCCCACTTTGACCTCAACTTGTTAACATACTCGCCAATGTCTTTATACTCCATATCCAAATATTTGTTTCTTATCTCATAGGGAGTGGGAGGTTGTACTCCAACACCGGCTTGTTGACATCCCACTACCATATTTTTGAAATGATGTGATGAAGCCTTCGCAGCAGGGACATTTTCATAGATAAAGAACTTGCTAATTAGACGCCCCATTCCCTCCTTCACATTACCTCCCTTGAAATAACTCCAAACACTCTTTTGACGTGCGTTGGATGACTTATATAAACTTGGGGCTATTGGTGGTGTTGGTTGTGATTCTCTAAGACTGCCTCCCCGTCTCATTTGTGCACCACCACTTGTCCCGGAACCTTGTCCCCTATTAGGAATTTTATGAAGGTGTTCTCTTTCCCATGCTGACTGTTTGGAGGCACGTAATGCTTGTTTCAAACTGCGTCGTTTCTTCAGGTCCCATGTCATCATCACATTCGTCCTCATCGTCATCCTCATCACTGTCAAGCCGCTTGGCCATAGACTTCTCCCCGTAGCCCAGCTCGAATATTTTCCATTCCTTGTGTCATCTTTTCCTTCTGCTGTTTTTTATTTTTTAATAATGTGCTGATGAATGCCTTCACTTCTGGGGGGACATTTATCGCATCGTTGGACATTTTTTGATGGATCTAATCCACTAAGATGATACTTCAGTCGTGTCACTCCGCCACTCTTCATTACCCCGACCACAATATTTGCAAATTGTGCCATGTTTGTTTCCGTCTATTGGGTCTCCATGTTCCCAAGCTGGATCACGTTTACTTGACATCTTAAACGTACCTATATTTATTTTTCATTAAAATTAGACAATTATTTTTTGATAAAAATAAGAGAAACCTAAATAATAAAGTTATTCTAACAGAAGAATTAAATACAAAGTAAAGAAAATGATTGTAAAAAGTTAAGTAATTATACAAATAATATGGAATAATAAAACCTAATATTAATGAAATAATAATCCAATTTGATAATAATTCAATTTAATGAATAATAATCCAATTTGATAAAAAAATTATCCTAAATTAAAACATGGTGATGAAATATAATCCAATTTGATAATAATAATCCAATTTAATGAATAATCCACCAATTTGATAAAAAATTTCCTAATTAAACATGGTCAAATCGATAATAATAGATCCAATTTGATAATAATCCAATTTAAATGGAATAATCCACCAATTTGATAAAAAAATTATCCTAAATTTAAAACATGGTGATGAATAATAATCCAATTTGATAATAAATAATCCAATTTGGTAATAATCCAATTTAATGAATAATCCACCAATTTGATAAAAAAAATTATCCTAAATTAAAACATGGTGAATGAATCATAATCCAATTTGATAATAATAATCCAATTTGATAATAATCCAATTTAATGAATAATCCACCAATTGATAAAAAAATTATCCTAAATTAAAAACATGGTGATGAATAATAATCCAATTTGATAATAATCCATTTAATGAATAATCCACCAATTTGATAAAAAAATTATCCTAAATTAAAAACATGGTGATGAATAATAATCCAATTTGATAATAATAATCCAATTTGGTAATAATCCAATTTAATGAATAATCCACCAATTTGATAAAAAAAATTATCCTAAATTAAAAACATGGTGATGAATCATAATCCAATTTGATAATAATAATCCAAATTTGATAATAATCCAATTTAATGAATAATCCACCAATTTGATAAAAAATTATCCTAAATTAAAACATGGTGATGAATAATAATCCAATTTGATAATAATCCAATTTAATGAATAATCCACCAATTTGATAAAAAAAATTATCCTAAATTAAAACATGGTGATGAATAATAATCCAATTTGATAATAATCCAATTTAATGAATAATCCACCAATTTGATAAAAAAATTATCCTAATATAAAACATGGTGATGAATAATAATCCAATTTGATAATAATCCAATTTAATGAATAATCCACCAATTTGATAAAAAAAATTATCCTAAATTAAAACATGGTGATGAATCATAATCCAATTTGATAATAATAATCCAATTTGATAATAATCCAATTTAATGAATAATCCACCAATTTGATAAAAAAATTATCCTAAATTAAAACATGGTGATGAATATAATCCAATTTGATAATAATCCAATTTAATGAATAATCCACCAATTTGATAAAAAAATTATCCTAAATTAAAACATGGTGATGAATAATAATCCAATTTGATAATAATCCAATTTAATGAATAATCCACCAATTTGATAAAAAAATTATCCTAATATAAAACATGGTGATGAATAATAATCCAATTTGATAATAATCCAATTTTAATGAATAATCCACCAATTTGATAAAAAAATTATCCTAATATATAAAGAATAATAATCCAATTTGATAATAAAAAAACCTAAATATAAAAGAATAATAATCCCAATTTGATAATAAAAAAATCTAATATTAAAGAATAATAATCCAATTTGATAATAAAAAAACCTAATATTAATGAATAATAATCCAATTTGATAATGAAGATGGTAAGGGAAATAAAATAATAAATAATATTAAACATATTAAAATTATCCTAGGGAATAATTATACAACATTACTTAATTACTTAAAACAATTAATATTAACATTACTTAATTACTTACAAAAATTAACATGCAAGTATTAATTACTTAAAAAGATTCACATACGAGTCCACACAAATTTATTTGTTGTTGTATAAATTACAATAATATAAATTTAAGTTTGTAAACTTACCTTAAATATTGAAGCCTTTGTGTTCAAGCTTTGGAAATGGATCTGAAATGACTTTTGAAAATGGTAAGGAAAATAAAATAATAAATAACATTAAACATATTAAAATTATCCTAGGGAATAATTATACAACATTACTTAATTACTTAAAACAATTAATATTAACATTACTTAATTACTTACAAAAATTAACATAATTAACATGCAAGTAATTACTTAAAAAAATTAACATACGAGTGCACACAAATTTATTTGTTTTTGTATAAATTACAATAATATAAATTTAAGTTTGTAAACTTACCTTAAATATGGAAGCCTTTGTGTTGCTTGGCGTTGGAAAGGATCTGGAATGGTTTTGAAAATGGTATGGGAAGAAGAATGTAAGTTAAAATTCGGTGAATGCCTCTGATGATGAAAGAATGTAAGTATATAACAGACATTGACACTGTTTTACATGTGAAAGACATTGACACTGTTTTGCATATGAAAGACTGTCACACGCTTTCTTTATTAAAGCAGTAGTATTTGTTGTGCATGTTCTGAAATTGCAAAAAGTTCTTTGGATTATTGTATCAGAGAGGTAGACATAGGTTTGGAATGATTTGGTTTTCAATAATTTGGAGCATTGGATGCTTTTTTTTTCTAACATGCCATCACTCAGACAGTAAAAAAAGACTGAATAACTCACACTCCACCACACACACACTTCGAGACCCCCCCCACACACCACACACACACACACACACACGTACTACCCTATTCCGAATCCTCTCAGTCTCTCTCGAATCCTCTCAGTCTCGATCTTTCATTTCCCACTCCACTACCCTATTCCCGAATCCTCTCAGTCTCTCTCTCTTCTCTTTCTCTCTCTGAGGTCGGTCTGAGCCTTCGTTCTCACCGAGAAGTTCTCAGTCTTCTCCCTCCCTTCCCCCTTCTCCACTTCTTCCACACACACACACAGAGACATCATCACCGAGAAGTTCTCAGTCCTCGTCCGTGTCTCCGTGTCTCCGTGTCTCCCTGTCTCCCTCTGCTCCTCCCATCTCACCCGCCCTAAACCCAGCCGTCGACCCACTCCTTAACCGTCCGTGTCTCCGTGTCTCCCTGTCTCCCTCTGTCTCCGTAGTCCAAGCCGTCGACACCACTGAGGACCACGAACTTGTCCCAGCCGTCTTGGATTCGTGAGGATTTTAGGGATGTTGCAATTTTTCTGCATGTTGCACACCTTTGTTACTTTAAATTTTTGTAAAGATTTCAATTTTTCTGCATGTTGCACACCTTTGTTGTACTGAAATTGATTTTATGGATTTAGGAATTAGGGTTCTATTTTTTGTACAGATTGCTATTTATCTGCATGTTGCTTGATTTTTGTACTGAAATAGATTTTAGGGATTTAGGAATTAGGGATTCAGTTCAGTTGCTTTGAATCCGAATTTGGGATTTAGGGATCGGTTCATTTGCTTTGATTTTTGTACTCAAATCGTTCTTCTCGGCTTGTAAACATGTTGATTTTTTGTAATGAAATCGTTCTTGTCGGAATCCTGTATTGTAGATTCAGTTCATTAGGCTGGAAATTAGCATTTGGGGATTTAGGGTTTCGGATTATTTGCTCCGGCCGTGTTCTCCGACGAGTCCATACCAAATATCGCGATAGTTTCGAAAATATCGCGATATTATCGATAATATCGATAATATCGCGATATTATGCCGAAAACTAGTTGGATAGTTACTAAAATATCGGGGTCCCCAAAAAACGATAATATCGGCGATATTTCGCCGATATTATCGATATTTTCTACTGTGCTAACAAGTAACAACAATGTAAATTGTAATTTTCTAAAATAAACATGAATTTTGTTATGTGCTATGCAGGTTATGATGCCCAACTTAACAACCTTGACTGTGCATCAATGTGATAGTTTAAGATTCTTGTTTTCGAGTTCCATGGCTAAATGTCTCAGACAACTCAAAAATCTCAAGATATCGAATTGTCAAATTATGGAAGAGATAGTCGGAAATGAGGAGAATACATATGATATGTTTGATAAGCTAAGTCGTCTAGAGTTACAACATCTTCCAAGCCTTGCTAGATTCAGCTCAGGAAGTTACATTAAATTTCCATCTTTGGTGTTTTTGGATCTAGACGATTGTACTAAACTGGAGACATTCATCTTTGATGCCAAGAGTGAAAATATTACAACCAACAAAGAAGAAAGAGATATTGAGCTCTTTGATGAAAAGGTGAATTATAACTTAACTTCTTTTCTTTATGCTTTCATTTCCAACTTATGCATGCGTCCCACTCTTTCTAAAATGAATATGTGACAGGTAGAATTTCCTAGCTTGGAGATATTGTGGATACAAGGACTTATTTAAATTGAAGACAATATTCCACAACCAACTACATTCAGATTCTTTTGCTAAGCTCAGAATTATGGATGTTAATAGGTGCCACAATTTGATTAATATCTTTGGGCCAAGTATCATGGGAAGATTGAATGCTCTAGAGTCCTTATATATAAAGCAATGCCAGTCACTACAAGTAGTATATGACTCATCATCTACCGCTCAGTTGAACAATTTTGATTGCCCGAATCTAAATTTAGTTGAGATATCCTCATGTGAGAGTTTGAAGAATTTATTTCCCGTCTCAGTAGCCAAAAATCTTAAGCAGCTAAGCAAGTTCAAGGTCGAGAATTGTGGTTTAATGGAGGAAATTGTCACGATGGAAGAAGGACCAAAAAGGACACATGAGGAGTTCAGGTTCCCTAAAGTAGAAATAGTGATATTTGAAAATCTACCCCGGCTTCGGAGTTTCTATCATGGACTGCATGTCTCTAATTGGCCATTACTCAACGAATTGAGCTTCATTGAATGTGGTAGTGTGGAGATTTTTTTCTAAATTTTCAACATATCACGACAAACTTGAGTTGAGACACCCAACACCAATGAAACAGCCTTTCTTTTTAATTGACAAGGTAAGCATACTTGTACACAATTTTTTTAAGTATAATTAGATTGTCATCCTTGAATATGATGCGTTTCTCATTAAAACCACCAATTCTTGATATTAAGATTTATTTTTTCAATACGCCAAAGAGAGATTATATTCACACCTCAAATTACTTGTCCCACATTTTTTTTCTTTTTAACATTTTTGACACACCACTAACACTTGATAGAAAAATATTAAAAAATTAAAAAGGTGTGGGGGAAGTAATTTGGGAAATTTGGAAAAGTAGCCAAAATTTTGACCATAAATTAAATTATAACCAACTATTATAAATTTTTATAATGCTAACCAAAATTTGACATGAAAAATACTAAAATCCTTTTACTATAGTATTTTTATGTTAAATTCAACGAATTTTGCAACAAAGGAAATTTCAGGGGAGACGCTTATTTTCACAAATCTGACAGGCCAAAAGGGATTTATTCTTCAATCTTCCCAAATTGGTCGTCCCATATTCTTTGAAGGAGCAATCAAATTGAAGGGCTAGGCTTTTGGGTTTGATTCATGAATTTAAAGTGTGAAGGAGATGCAATTGATATTGCTGCTATTGTGTTTGGGGAAGTGAGAGAGAGGAGGATGAAAGGCTTCTTTTTCTTAACTTTTGCTTTTATTTGTATTTAATTTTATTGAGAGTTGATAGGGTTATGTTAGGTTTAAGTTTGTGCACAGGTGTCAAGTATTGAGATGTGTCATAAAGATGCTACTTATTTTAACTGTAAAAAATTTGAAACCGGCTCTAACTATCAGGATAATTCACAACTTGCCACTTGCCACTAAAGACCGTTCACAATAATGTGTTTTTGGTATTAATTTAAATAAGATAGGTTTTTTTTTGTAAAAAATAAAATAGTTTAAATTTGAAATTAAATTGACATAATTTTGGCCCTATATTATTTTTTCCAGATAATTTTTACTCCAATTTGTTCTTTGCGAATTAATGAAGGTACAAGGACATATATTTGTTCAGTAGCCTAGTAGCTTACTTTTTAAATATATATGATATTTACTTTATATCTACACATTTTGGAATGTATACGGCTAACAATAATATAAATTGTAATTTCCTAATACAAACATGAATTCTGTTATGTGCTATGCAGGTTATGATGCCCAACTTAACAACCTTGATTGTGCATCAATGTGATAGTTTAAGATTCTTGTTTTCGAGTTCCATGGCTAAATGTCTCAGACAATTCAAAAATCTCAAGATATCCAATTGTCAAATCATGGAAGAGATAGTGAGAAATGAGGAGAATACAGATGATATGTTTGATAAGCTAAACCGTCTAGAGTTACAACATCTTCCAAATCTCACTAGATTTAGCTCAGGAAGTTACATTAAATTTCCATCTTTGGCGTATTTGGATCTAGACGATTGTACTAAACTGAAGACTTTCATCTTTGTGATGCTAAGAGTGAAAATATTACAACCAACAAAGAAGAAAGAGATATTGAGCTCTTTGATGAAAAGGTGAATTATACCTTCACTTGTTTCTTTAAGCTTTTGTTTCCAACTTATGCATGTGTCCCACTCTTGTGAAAAAAGGTTTGTTCACAAATTCTAAATGAATATGTGACAGGTAGGATTTCCTAGCTTGGATACGTTGTACATATGGGACTTACCTAAGTTGAAGACAATATTCCACAACCAACTTCATTCAGATTCTTTTAGCAAGCTCAGAATTATGGATGTTCGTAGATGCCACAGTCTGATTAATATCTTTGGGCCAAGTATCATGGGAAGATTAAATGCTCTAGAGACATTACAAATAAAGCAGTGCCAGTCACTACAAGTGGTATATGACACATCATCTACCACTCAGTTGAACTGTTTTGAATTCTCTAAAGTAACATGTATGATGTTTGAAGATCTACCTCAACTACAGAGTTTCTATCCAGGGCTGCATGTTTCTAATTGGCCATTACTCAATACATTAAATTTCAAGAAATGTGCTAATGTGGAGATTTTTTGCTTCTGAATCTTCAACATATCAAGACAAACTTGAGTTGGGCCATCCGACACCAATGAAACAGCCTTTCTTTTTAATTGAGAAGGTAACCAACACAATTCTTTTGATATTCGAATTTTGTGTGATTTTTACATACTAGTTAAACAAACACATCAAGTAAATATATTTATTAAGTTTTTAATATTAAAGTTATTATGTGGTGTCCAATTTTTCAAAATATTTTAAAGCATGTCATTACTGTTGATTATATTTTAGGGTAAGTCATTCATCAACTTGGAATACTTGATGTTGGACGAGAACACAGAGATTTGGTATGAGCCGTATGGTCCACTTCCGGCAGAGTTGTTAAGCAAAATAAAATCGATTTATTTTGCTACTTCACATCCCAAGTCAGATGTTTTCTTTGAGAATTTACAGAATATTGAAAACCTCGGTGTTCTCTCTGCTCCTTGGAAAGAATTAATTGTCCACAACCACCAAGGAAGTAGTAGCGGGGAAATACATGAAGCTGAGACCTTCCCACGTGTAAAGACTTTGTGGCTCATCGATATGCCGGAGCTGATACATCTAGGAATGGAAAACTCCGAACCAGGGGTCCCTGTTTTTCCAAACTTGGAAATTCTATGTCTGCAAAAATGTGGCAGATTAGAGAATCTAGCTTCAACTTTGATATCCTTTCGGAATCTAACCAGTTTGACCATACGGTATTGTCATGGACTGCAATACTTAATACCTTATTCTGTGGCTAAGAATTTGCAGCAACTCAAGGAGTTCGAAGTTGAGTCCTGTGAAAGAATGGTTGAAATAGTAGTGAGCAACAGAGATGATCCAGAAAATGAGATTACTTTCAGTTGCTTGCAACATTTGAAACTTTTTGATCTACCAAGTCTGCAAGGATTTTGCACTGGAAATTACATTTTCAAGGTCCCATCCTTACCGTCCAACAATTTGATTGTCGAGAAGTGCCCGTTGATTGAGTTAACGATTTCTCTTGATGGGTTACTCCAAAGTGATCCAAGACCAGAAAGACTACAAATAGCAGAGGAAACTGATGATGTACAAAAGCTAAGTGATTCAAAGGAGAATGAACGTGATCAAACCGTAAGTTCTTCATTCACTAATTAAGCATCTGTTAATTTCACTCTCCAATTTTTCAGCTTTTTCCGAACCTTGAAGTCAAATTTTAAAGTTTGATTTATTCATCTTATTCATAGTTGTTCAGTCAGAATTCATACTGAATAGTTTATGTGTTTATTTATAATTGTCCACTAAATATATATTTCTACAGGAGCAGCTGGTGATCACGGATTCAAATGTAGATGTTACAATTGCAAGACTCTGCCAAAAAGGAATCCTCATCTTTTGCCTGGCGTGTTAAGGTTTTCCGATTGTGTGCGATTGCATGTTTGTGTGTTATTTTCCTCTTCCTTCTGTTTTTTTTTTTAAAGGAAGAAATATCAGCCTGGAGAGCAGACTGGAAGGCACTCTGATATGTTGGACCACACTACACATTCCACGGAAATCACATTGGATTGTTCAAATTTTTAATGGTTAAAACTATGCTACTTGGAGTCAAAGGAAATACGCATTGGAGATCCTAGAGGATGCACGCTTTCTTGGCTTTGGCGTTATTGTGGTTGCTACTTTCATTATACTCAAGTTTTCTTGTTACTTACTCTAACTATTCTCTGTTCTCCCCTCGACGGTCTGTGCCCAACCTTGCTTCCCTGGCTGATCTCATCTTGTTTAATATAAGCATGCAAGCTGCGGCCTCAATGGAAAGCTGTCCCAGAAACTTGTGCAATTTGGGAAGGCACTGATGCATATTCCATGTCATGTTATGCTTGTTTTGACTCGTGTTTCATCGTAAAAGTGTGATTTGTATTTGAAGCTTTGTTCGCTACACTTTCAGTTTTGGTGTTTGGGAAATAAAGCTTGTGTGATTTTATGTTAAACATTGATGCATTTGAAGTGGTGCTTGTGTGCACGTCTACTGAAACAGCTTTATCCTTGAATTGGTACTCATTTTATTGCTTCTTGTGATACATGAAAAATATCATTTCCAATCATCTTCTTAAGAGCATCTCCATTGAGGACTAGAATGTAGAGAGGACTCGTAGTTACTGTAGTTTTAGCCCACGCGTTGCCTCGGGAATGTCAAATGAATTATAAATATTGTATATGTATTAAAATAATGGACTAAACCAGAAATGCGCATAAAAGCTCACTGAATATTTCAAGGGAGATTTAACAAAATACTCCCCGGTACTGTTCACTTTTTAACGAAAAACCACATTTTTCCCTTTAACTAGCACTATTCATTATACATTTAAAAATGGTTTTTCGTTAAAAGAGAAGTTTTTTTGGACTTTTCGTTAGTTTTTCTATATTTCAATTCATTCTTGAATTCATTGCTCTTGATGAGATCCAGTTTGTTGGTACACTCTGACCACAGTGGGGAAAATGCGTATGGGTTGAAATAAAATTACAGGTCCAATCCCACCTGAGCTCGGACAAATGACAAAACAGCAGCTTCTAAACTTGAGCCAGATCCACTTGACTGGTGACATACCGGCACAGATTGGTAAATTACTCCAGAGTTACAACTTGGACCCAGCAATTCTCTCTCCAGAGTGATACCTTCAGACTTGGAACATCTCACAAATTTATAGGTTCTCAGTGTCTCACACAACCATCTCTCAAGGGAAATCCCTACAACAATTCTGAAAATGGTGAGTGTGGATACCTATGACTTTTCATATAACAACTTGACAGGTCCAATCCCAAATTGCGTCATTTTCCTAAAGGATATTCCAATTTCTCAAAATCTTAAATCCAACTACAGCTCTCAATGCCCAAATGGCCACATATGAGAAACCAAAATAGAGCCTTAAAAGAAATAGAAGAAAGGTACTGTTCGACTCCTACAGTAATGATTTACCTTTTGTTTTGGCAAAAGTTTCCCATTTTGTTGGAGGTTTAGACACTGGCAGCTATAGAAAACAAAAGGATGTCATTGGCAGTCTGACGTTTATGCTAAGAATACAATAGCAACTCTTAAATCAGTTACAGAAAAAAACCATCAGCATCAACAACCTTTTTGCATACACTAACATTTTAGTCAACCAATTTACATGATAGGAACTCAAAATTGGCAGCACAACAAAAGGGGATCAACAAAAATCTCGGTAATTACCTGAAACTAAGATTCCACTTCTTTTCAATTGTGAAGCACTATACATGTATTCACTATCAAATGCTCATATACATGATCAAACCTATAAAAAAACATCATTGGAGAATCGTAAACCTCTCTTTGTTAAATCTCGACCATTGCCATCTTTCTACAATGGAGGGAAGGAGTAATTTTGAGAGCTTGAAGAAAAAAGATTCTTATGCAAGTTATCTCACAGTGGACTTGGGGTGCAGAATGAGATGGATATTGAGCATCACTAAAAATAATATCGGGCCATAAAGAGATTAACTAAAGGTGGTAAGAATAAATTGGTATCAAACTTATCAATCATCATTCACGAAGTTAGAATCTAAGACTCCTTGCTTACAAATGAAGAAAAATACAACTAGACCGTATTATTGAATAGCAACTCATCCGACTTCGTTTTAATACGGTAAACCACACTTATTTCACTTATCTTCATTTGTCCTCTAATTTCATTTCACAACACAACTTTGCAATTTCTGTTGTCGTTCACCTTCACTTTGCTTTTACTTTGCCGTTACTCTCACTCTCACAAGTTACATACTCTCTTCTTCTTTGCCGTTCGTCTCCCTCTCACGAGCTAAGGTATGTCTTTTGTTTCATTATTCAATGTCAATCACATTTTATTCTTGTCTTTCCATTTTTCATTTTATTTTGTTGCATAAATTTCTAGATCTTTTTCCATGTTTTTGGCTTCGTTTATGTTCAACAGATATATTACTAAACTGAAAGTGGCATGTTGTTTTGTCTTACCTTCATTTATTCCCAAGGTCGTTGGAAAAATAATTGAGTACACAGTTGTTCCAGTTGGACGTCAAGTGGGATACCTGATTCACTACAAAAGCAACCTTCAAACCTAAGGAGTCACTTGAACTCATGCTCCATTTGTCCTTTAATTTGATGCCAAACAGGTTTTCAGACAAGCTGCACAAGATAAGTTATAGGATGATGTGGTTATAATACTGAATGTCAATGAAAAAGAAGACCTGGAGAAAATTCAGAAACAAATTGCAGAAAAGTTCGGTATGCACATTGATGAATCTGAGAGAAGGGTAAATTGTTTATGGGACAGGATAAAAGACAAGAACACTTGTTATTTTAGATGATGTTTTGGGAAGAATTCATTTGGACCTTGTGGGACTTCGCCGGGCACCGGCTTGTAATTTACTTTTGACATCTAGAGAGCGAAATGTGTATATGAGATGCATACCCAAAAAGATTTTCAGCTTGACTTTGCGAAGAAGAATCGCGGAGAGATGAAAGAGCTCAAAGTGTTGGATTTAACTGTGCTTCATTTTCCATCATTATCTCCATCTCTTAAATACCTACCAATTCTTCAAACATTGTGCTTAGATCAGTGCGTGTTGGGGGATATTGTTCTAGTTGGAGAGCTAAGAAACTTGAAAATTCTTAGCCTTGCCTTGCCCACTCCCAGGTTAAAGAGTTGCATGATGAAACAGAGCAACTGACTCGTCTACAATTAGATTTGAGTGGTTTCTCTGAGATTGTACTGATTCCACCTAATGTTTCATCAAGCTTGAAAAGACTAGAAGACTTGAGAATGGGAATAAACAGCATTGAGCAATGGGAGGGTGGAAGGTCTGATCGATGGAAGAAATAATGTTCCTGATGCTGAAGCACTTGTCTCAGCTAACTGCATTAAACATACACGTTCCAGATGCTAACCTTCTTCCGAACAACTTGTTGTCGGATAAGTTGAAAAGCTACACCATCCATGTTGGTGACTGTTGGCTATATCTTTCCAAATTTGGAGTCACTATCTCTTTATAACCTTGTTAGTTTTGAAAATTACCATCTCTGATGTTGTGGAATCTACCAAAGTTTATTGGTTTCTCTCCAACCGCAGCACCTCTGTTGTAACTGCAAGGATTAAAAAACAACTAACAACATATACAAAAGCCGAAGAAATCATTATGGTGAATGAAACTGCCAGGCTTACGGAACTTTGATGGTTTTAGATTTTTGTTCCATGGCTAGAAGTCTTGTACAACTCAAACATCTTGAGGTATCCAAATTCAGAAAATGGAAGAGATTGTAGCAAATGAAGAATATAGTGATGCAAATATGGATAACAGGTTTTGCAAGCTAAAACATCTACAACTGCAATATCTCCTGCCAGATTCTGCTCAGGAAGTTATATTTATTGAACTTCCGTCTTTGCAGCTGTTGCATCTAGAAGATTGTCTTAAACTGAGGGCATTCATATTTGATGGTAAGAGTGAAAGTATTACAAAACACAAAAAGAAACTGAAGAGAAGGGATGGAAGAAGAATCTTGAGACTGCCGTACAATATTTTCTTTTCGAAGAAAAGGTATGTTATTCATGCATTTCTCTTTCTTTATGGGAAGATTGAATAATCTAGACACCTTGGAGATATGGCAATGCCAGTCACCACTATCTCCCACCACCAACGCACGCACCATCACCACCACCACACACTCTAGCCGCAAACACCAACGCCACCATCACCACCACCAACACCACTCTAGCCGCAAACACCATCGCCACCCCCATTGTTACTATCTTAAAATTTATATTACAAAAGCTTTACTACCAAACACAAATTTACTAGTTTTTGACATTTTAGATATGGGCACTAGACACTCAACGAGCGAATTGATCTTCATTTCATTTTCTGCTGGGCTCAAAGTGTGCAGGTATGATGTTTGTTAAAATGTCTCAGTGAAATTCAAAGCAAATCATACATGTTTGCATGTTTCTAGGCTCGATACCAAGCAAATTTTTGGATTATAAAAATTGTTTTCAGAAAGTCGTTCATCATTTTTTTTTTAGTCTTTGTTGTTTGATGATCAAGAAACATCCGTTTCATAGCATAATTTCTACTTTGCAAGTGCTGTATAACCCGACTTTTTCTTCGACTATGCAGTTGTGTCCAGAAGAAGCTTAGTAAAAAAAGAAAAAGCAAAGCAAAAAGGGTTGCATACTTCTCTGTTTCCCTTCAGTTCCTCTTGCTCCCTCCATAGATCCTGCGGAAGGCACCAACACCAAGACCACCCCTCAAGTAGATTTTCCTTGCCATGGATGCAGATCTAATGTAGTACCAATCAGGCTCATATGCTGCAAGCTCCTTGAA